TGTGTGTGTGTGTCACTGCGTGCATCTGTGAGTGTGTGTGTGTGTGCATGCTCTCAGCGATGATGTCATTGTTGCCAGAAAGCGCATCGCCTTCTGCAGAGATGAAGGAGCTGAACTCAAACAGCAAACCGAACGAAACAAAAACTGAAGAAGAAAATGGAGAGAAAATACGCAGGAGAGGATGCACGAGAGCGAGGAAGAAGGAAGAGATGAAGAGAAACTGCAGAGGAACGAATGCATGAACAAAGAAACGAGTCACAGCCGAGAAATCTGCTTTTATCGCCTCATCTTTCTGCTCTGAGCTGCAGAAAATGTAAAAGAATAATAATAGAAATAATCAGTGTGGGGGTGAACGAGTGGATCTGTCACTCACCCTGCAGCGATGCTCGCTCCAGCTCTTCTCTGTTCACACTGAAGATCTGCAGCTCAGCAGCATCAGCACCACCACACAGCAGCCCAATACATGACATCACCCACCAGCCCTCTGATTGGCCAGCAGGGATGCTGGGCTGTGATTGGTCCAGCAGGGCAGAGGAGGAGAAGGAGAGGAGGAGGAGGAGGTGGTGTTGGGTTATTTCAGAGGAAACCTCCTCACCAGTAACTGAAAGCTCTTCATCAGAATCAGGAGGACAAACTTTGTCACTTACTGAAAGAAAAATTAATGTTTTAAAGATGAAAAATCAACTGAAATTAAGCAGCGATCAACTTTCCCGGGATTTCATGTGTCAGCACCAACAAGGGCTTCATGGAAGCAGCAGCACAGTCTCGACAACAACACAGAAAACATTCAGGCGGTTTTAAAAAGATAAAATGCTTTTTTCTAAGAGGCTTCTAAAGATTTACAAATATGTAAAAGAAAAGATGTGAAACAAGCAAAAATATTAATGCTTTTAATGTGAAAGGGACATCCTCTGTCCACAGGAGCAGGACAGAGGTGAGCCTTCAATAAGATCTGTATCTGCATGTGCTGCATGCACCATGAGTCTACAGAGTTCTGCAAGGTCAAAGGTCATTTGATTCTAACTTAAACAGCTCTACCAAGTCAGAAGTACTTCTAATGAGGTCACGAGGCTCCGGCGGTGGGGGGGGAAGGATGTTTTTATGACTCACCTGAGGGTTAAAGCTGGGTGGAGGAACTCCAGGCCTCGAGGGGCGGAGTCCTGCAGGTTCAGATGTGTCCTTGATCCAGCACAGCAGATTTAAAGGCTAAATCACCTCCTCAACATGTCATGAAGTTCTCCAGAGGCCTGGGAATGAGCTAATCATTAGATTCAGGGGCGTTGACCCAGGGTGAGATCTAAAACCTGCAGGACACCGGCCCCTGAGGGGGCGTGGCCTCCCTGATGGACAGGTGGCTAACGTTTTCTTCAAACTTTTGCAGACTGCAGTCTGAATGCAGTTTGGGAACAAATATTGGTTTTCCTGCAGAAAATGCTGGAAACACCTAAACATTACAAACTCTGGATTTATTTTCAACAACTTTTCAGCAACTTGTTAACATCACATGACCTTTGACCCTTGGTAGGGAGCTGCA